GGGTAGGAAAAGAGGCAGAATTGGAGTTTATCGGGTGGAATGTCTGTAAGCTGATTGGCATAATTCTTTTATGGGTAATTTTCAGCCGTGAGAACTGGTCCTTTGGGGGGGGTGGTGTGCGGAGGGTGGTGAGAGAACTTTCCTCTGAGGACAGTGAGTGACTTGCGGCTCGGTGAGGCTTCTGAAACAAATAAAACTCCTTGCCTCGAAGACTGGCACTCAAATCTGCAGTCATTACCCCAGGAGTCCTTCGGGTCTGGCTGGTAAAAGCTGCCCCTTGTAAAATGCTACCCCGGTTGTGAAAGCAGAGCAGGGAATCTCAGCTGTGTAACTTGCCCCAGCGTGCGTGGGAAGAGCAGGTGGCAGCAAAATGATTTGCTTCACTGGCCTTGCACCACAGTCCCTCATGGTCTCTAGGTCAGAAGTACACGCTCTTTCAATTTTTTCCCTGTTTCGTGTTTTACAGATGGTTTAATTTTTTAATTTTATTTTTGGAACGTAGCCAATAAACGAGCATATTAATAGAATATAAACACTTCGCACTTACTGTGCCTGGAGTTGACTCTGCAGCCAGGAAAAGACACACAAGTGCCTTTCTGTGCCTCCTGCTCCAGTGGACAGGGGTGTTTGAAGCTGAGGGACACAGCTTCTGTCCCTGACAATGTTATTTTTTTGCGCTTGTCAGGCACAGACTCACTACAAAATGACATTTAACTGTCTTGCTGTAAGGTGTGGGGAAAAAATGCAGCTCAGCTGTTTGGAATGAGAATGACAGGACACAAAGTTACAGTGAGGATGGAAACCTCTCAGTGGGACTGCTGAGTGTTTTAACCACTATTGCCTAAAACTCTTGGTTTACATGTCTTTTTTTTTTTCTCTCATCTTTGTCAAAAAAAAAAAAAATAGAAGCTTTCCTCAGGATGCACAAGGGATGTGTGTGCTGTGTGCATGTGATTTAAATAGTCCTGCCGAGCGTGATTCATTGTTTTCCATGTTATCTGTCAAAATCTGAGCTTTAAACCGGTTGTGGTCCTGTCCCATGTGTTGGAAAATGCGAATGGACAGCCAGGAATTTGGGGGAGTGCTCTGTCCAGCTTAAGTGAGGGGAATTTTTAACTGTAGCAGAGCAGCCAACTTTCTAGGGCACTTCAGGGTGGTCACTTGATCCCACAGCACACTGCCTAAAAATAGGCCTATTGTACTTGTGGAGTGAGAGGTTGGATACCCAGCACTCCTGGATTGGGGAATTGGCTTTTTGGTAACCTGCAGAGACCCTGCACTCTGTACGGAAGGGATGGAGCTGAAAACAGTGTTTTCACTTCCTAATCATGTTTTTTTTAGGTTGTGTGAGTGGCTTTTGGTTGGTTGGTTGTTTTTTTTCTCTCTCCACGTAGCTGAACTCCAAATCATATCCCATGGGACCAGCACAATGAGGGACAATTAATTTACCCTTTTTGCAGGGCAGGTGGAGGCTGAGAGCTCATAAAACCTCCAAGGAACCAAAAGGGCAGTGGAATTGAGAGTTCAGGTCTCAGAGTAGTATTATCTGCTTTCATGTAACAAATCTTAATTTTATTTTGCAACAGTTTAGTTTTAGAATTATTTCCCCCCCATAACCCAAATAACTATTTTTTTAAATCCTGAAAAGCCAGCATATATTTATAAATATATGATGAACATGCCTATATTCTTTTAGTTAGTAATAGGGATATTTCATCCCTTGTGAGGGGATATTCTGAAAATATCCCAGTTCCCCTCTGTTAGAATTCACTCATTTAATCTTGGAGGAAAAGGCTAAGCACCCCTTTCTAGAAGTATTTATTTTCTGTCATTGCCTTAATGCTCAGCTGGATTAAGACAAATAATTGACCCTTTTAAGATCTGCCTCCCTCCTACATAAAGTAAAACACAGGAGCAATTTGGCATCTGGCCCTGCTGCCTGGGCCCAGTGACACCTCTGTGTTCAGCACGTTTCTGTGCACTTTACTCCTTCTTCTGTTTCTTAATTAAACAGCATTTTGTGCAACAGAACTGTTGTTAGCAAATGTCAAGGAGGAGGACCAGCCAAACACTTTATTTTCGGTTATAAATAGCAGCTGACAGATAAATTGGATCTCTGTGTTTCTTTGTTGTTAAAACTTACTCTCCAGGCCTCTCCAGTTTCTTTTTTTTTTATATATATGTATATATGTGTGTCTCACCCATTTTTCTTTCCCCGAGGATTCTTTTTGCATGTCCATTTTAGGCTTGTGAAAGGTGTAGGTGTTCAGCTGTAGGTGGTGTAATTCTGTAGGTAGGGATGTCTCTGGCCAATCCACATAATTTAGGTTCCTGGGGTGGGAAAGTGGGTTGTCTTGTGTTTGGTTTGTTTGAAATAAGTGCAACATGTTGAAGTGAACATTGGTGGAAATGCTGCCCATCAGATGTAAACATTTAAAAATTCCCCTCTTGAAATCACTGGGAAAAGGGAAGTGGAAAGCAGATTTCTTATGAATCTTTAGGAGTAGTTGGAGCAGTAATAAAATTGAAAAGTTGTCTCCCAGTGGGTAGTAATTTATAGTTGTGCCACATGTTAAATGCTGCCCTGGAACCTTACATAGGTTTTGCTGGTGCAGAATATCTTTTAAGACTTAAAATATACGTCTCTTTTCAATCTCAACTTGAAAAGAGCAAACACATCTCCCAGAGCTTTTCCTGAGGGATCAGGAAAAACGAGGGAAGCAGTGGGGACACACCACCAGGAAAACTCAGTGTCTAAATCAGTTATTACTGGAAGCTACTGGATTTGGGCTTGACTTGATACTTTTTGGGTTGTGTTTTAGCTCCTGGGTTGTGTCCTGTCTGTGAAGTTGCAGTATTTGTAGGATCTTAGGGGCCTGTAAAATGTATTTGGTCGTTCTCTTCCTGTAGCTGCAGCTGCCCATCTTCCCTTGCTGTGTATCTTCAGGTTCTTCTTTGTTGGGCTCAGTGAGCCAGGTTTTAGTTTCATTTTGTGATAAACTGAGAGAATGATTCGGGCTAATTAAATGAAAAACAGTGTAAGGTCAATATGACCTGGAGAGAGAGAAAAGAGAAACAAATCGTAAAACTTAATTGGGCCCCTATAAAGACATAAAACAAGTTACCTCCCTTTTACCTTGTGTAAGAGTTATAGTGAAGGAATTTCATTTAGTTAGCTAGATAATAGCACCTTTCTTAAAAGTTTATAACTTTGTGTGGATAACAAGCAAACATCTGCTGAATGTCTGACTTGACAATATATTATGGATGCTTATAGATAACATTCTTGTTTAAGAAAAACATCTGTCGAATGTCTGACTTAACAATGTGTAATGTTTATGCTTATGTATAATGAATATTCATGAATTAGCTGGGAATAAATGTAGAACAACTGTCTTCTTTGGGTGTGACAGGAGTTGGGAGTTGTTGAACCCCCTCCCCGATCACCCAGCGCTGAATTTGCTTTTATCGTATAATAAATTCTGATTGGAAATCACCCGACTCTGGGGTTCTATTTCTTACAGTGTCCTTAAGCAGCCCAGCCAGATGAGCTGTGGCTCAGGAGCCAGAGGTGGGAATGTCCCCAGTCTGGCTGGCTCACGCTGTGTTTGGTTGGCAGGTACATCCGCCTGTACGGGAGGAAGTTCAGCAGGGAGGATCACGTGCTGTTCATCAAACTGCTCTACGAGTTGGTGACCATTCCCAGGCTGGAGATCAGCATGATGCAGGGCTTTGCACGGCTGCTCATCAACCTGCTGAAGTAAGGACACCTTTCTGCCTGCTGGGGACGCTCCCTGAGCCCTTGCTCAGTGTTGTTCTACCTGTATGGAACTCGGTGTGCTGGCCCAGGTCACCTCGCTCCCCTCCCCTGGGCAGCTGCCGTGGGTTCAGGAGTTCCCACTGCGCTTTGGGAGCGCTGTGGGAATGTAAGAATGGAATTTTTCCCCCTATAAGGAAAAGCAAACGTCTCAGAGAGCCAGGTCTCGAGGTTTAATCTCAGCCGGGGGGGGGGAGGTGAGGGCTGGCTCACAACTCCATAATGTTTATTTCACTTAGCCAGGAAAACCTTGGGAATGCTGCCAGTGGCCAGCTTGTTCCTGCCTGGCCTTCCTGCAGCGGGTGCCAAACTGGGAGCAGGGGCTGGGGTGTTCCATGTAAACGTTTCATCCTGAAGTGCTTGGTGTTCTGTTTCCTACCAGGAAAAAAGAGCTGCTTTCCAGGGATGATTTGGAGTTGCCATGGAGACCGCTTTACGAAATGCTGGAGAGGATATTGTACTCCAAGACAGAACATCTGGGATTAAATTGGTTTCCCAAGTAAGTTCGCCTTTTGAAACCTTTGCTGGGCCATGAGTGCCTGTAAGGCTTTAAAGCACTTTGTAATTTGCTCCTGATCCCTGGAATCTGATACGTGGGAAATACTCTGGTTGTGTTTTCATGAGCAAATTTCAAATAATTTGCATTGCAGGGCTGCGCTAAGTCGTGGAGCTCCTTCTGCCAGGGGCTTGGGTTTGGCATCGTGTTTCCTTATGAGTGAGATGAATTTCTAAATGTGCTGGAACAGGGGTCCTGGTCAATTTATTTTGGAGTGGTAACCCAGGGTTTAACAAATTTATTGTGGAATATTTAACAGTATTGTCATGGTTTTAACCCCAGCTGGCAACTAAGCCCTGCATAGCCACTCGCTCACGGGATGGGGGGAAAAGTGGGAAAACTCAGGGGCTGAGCTAAAGACAGGGAGGAATGTGAAGAGAATTAACTTTATCCCAGTCAAAACCAGCACAGATACTAAGTTAAACCTCTGCTGCTCTATAACACAATAAGGGTTTGGGGAAAATACAGAATCTTTTTTTAAATATCTGTGCTGTAATCACTCCCAGGATCTGGAATCTACAGGAAGCAAAGTGAAGTACCTTCCATGGGAAATACATGGATATACTCAGAGATGCCATGAGAGGGAGAAATAATTTCCCCCCTCCCCCAGTTAAAATTTTTAGACGCTTTCTGGTGATTTGAAAAATGAGAACTTGTTTTCTTTGCTTTCTTTGCCTGTCAATCCCTGCCCATCTGTCAGATTTCCGGGATTTACAGTTTTCCTAATGATTCTAATTAGGAAGGTCCTGCTCTGTAAGCCACAGATTATAAAAGGTAGCACGTGGGTAATGCGTTATGTTTGGTTGAATTGAACCTTCGTGTGAAGAAGTGCAGGTGAAGAAATGTTTGGCTTGCTTTTAAAAAACGATTTTCTGAATAATCCTGAAGCGGTGATTCCTGAGGGGGAGATCCTCTTGCTGATAAGGGACATTGATAGAAAATATGTGGAGCCTTGTCACTTGTTATGGAGCATTTCAGGCTGGGTTTCTCTGGTGTCTGTGTAGCTGGAAACGTCGCTGTGCTCAGTTGCATTAGTTTGGTAGCTGTAGGTGAAGATGCGAAAGGGCAGAGCCTTCCTTGCTTTACTTTTATTTCAGCTTTTATCTTTGCACCTGCACACCTTGCTCTGGGGGTCACTTCTCATTTACTGTGTGAGCCAAACTTGGTAGTGGGGAGGGAGCTTTTCCAGGAGGGAAAGGGAGAGGTTGGGCTGGGAGGAAGGTCTGGGTTGGGATGGTCTGTGTGCGGCATCCAGCTTCGATTAACTTGATTTTATCCCACTCCATGCGGTGCGATTCCTTCTCATGCAGTGCTCCTTCTTTTCTGAGGTTTTTTTTTTTGGTGCAAATCAAGGGATACTTTAAAAAAGCTGATTTGATTTATAGCTGTTAAATTAACTCTCGTTTTAATTCTATTTTATTTTTTTTTTCCCCACATTCAGTTCATATCGACCAGGCTGGTCCTCACCTAAAACGTTTGTGCTTAATGTTTTGCATAGGTGGTAAGAAAGACTTTTTGTTGTTCAGCTCTGGCTGATGTATCTTCTGCATGTTCTGTTGGACTGTAACACTTGGCACACACAGAGGGGGAATTCTCTGCATAAATGGTTGTTTTGGAAAGGCAGTATTTAACATGACACCACTGGTGATGAGAATGTCGCACTGGATGTGAAATCTTCTAATTGGGGAACCAGAGGATGTGTGTGAAGTGGCTGATCAGCGGCTCTAATTTAACTAATTTAACCAGCAAATGTATTTCAGGGGTCAAACGAGAGGTGGATTTTAGTCTGGAGTAGTTGTTGTGTCTGGTTAGGGATGAAATCACTGCTGGTGCAGGAGCAGGTCCTGGAGTGAATGTACCTTCCTGTTAAACCAGTGAAATCATGGAAAGTGCTTTAGCAGTGAGGTCATGGCTGCTGGAAGGTCCACCCAGCCACAGCCTTGGGGCTGTGAAGAGCTTCTGTGTCAAGGGTTTGCCAGGAATTCTTGCAGGGAAACCGTCAGGAATTTTTGGTGTGTCAGAAATGCAGAGAACTGGTGTAAGTGGCAGTGGAATCGCAGGGGGTTTTGCTTTGTTTGGGGTGTTTTAGAAAGAAAGGTTCAGTTGTACTGATCCAGTGATGGTAGGTAGGAATTCTCTCAAATAATTTGTGAGACTATAACTGGTTGCTCTTTTAATTGTCTTAATCTAAGCTCTGTGATGAGTGTCCACTTCAGGACTAGAATTTCCCTTACGGCCCAAACCTCTCCTGAAAAACTGAAATTCATGCTCCTGCTGCTTTTCTCTAACATGAGTCAACACTGTCATTTCTGTGTTAATCATTTTAACTGAAACATGTTTCTCTTGGAAAGTGCAGGAAAAAAACCCCCCATATTTGCAAATTGACATCACCATGCCCTTTCCAAAAGAAGAAAATAACCATGCAGTGCCAAAAAGATAACTAATGACAGGGCTTAAAATGGTGTTGGGTGTTTTTTAATACATCTCCCCAGCTGTGTTGTCCTGTCCTTTCCTCACTAGCCGTCCCCAAATGGGAATATTACAGGATGTCTCCTCTAGCTGGGCTGTGCTTGGACTGTCTCTTGGGTGGAGGTTCCTTGGGTACAAAATCATCTTGCTGTTGTTTTTTATTTCCTAGCTTCCTAAATCTGGGATCAGAAGCCAGATTGGGATGTTCCTCTCCTTTCTCCTTTGCTCTCTCACACTGGCAGGTGCTGAAATCTGGCTGAAAACTTGATCTCTGGCCTCTGTGTTTATTCAAACTCCCCTCCTTCAGGTTTTCCTCAGTGACACTCAAGGGGAGTGTGACAGTAGGGCAGAGCTTGTTTGTTTTGTCACACAAACATTTATCGTGTTAATTTTTAATGCTCTTAAGGAATGCTGCTGGTTCATGCTTTATTTATCTACTCTTGGAACAACTGTTACCTCTTTTCACTCTCGTTCAAGGACAATATTCACTTGAACTCAGAGTTTTCCTGAGCCTCCCGCAGAGTTTGGTCTGATTTTTGTTTAGTGAATAGTTGGTCATTCCTCTCCAAATGTTAGAGTTATCAGTCAGCTCTTTTCTGGGAGAGGTCCTGACTTGACTTTGTCACTGTTGCCTAAAATATCCCTAATTTTGCATCTCCTAGAGCTCTGTTTGAACTGAAGTAGTGCTGTGAGGGCTGGGTGGGCTTTTGTTGGATTGCATTGAAATAGTGGTTTATCCATATTTTATTCCTCCTGGCTTGGATGGGATCAGTTTATTTTGGGTAGGACTGGAGACACAAGCGTGTGCATGCTCAGTGTTTGTGTGTCTCCAAATTAATTGATCTTTGGTAATAAAGATGATGCGTTGGCATCATCTTTTTCTGAGCAAAATGGCATTTCTGTATGTTTTGGATGATGAGCTAAAGGATGCAGTATTTCTGTTCAGGGTACAGAAAGCAGATCTAAAAGATGTAGGAAGTCCTGCCAGAACTTCTATTTTTTTCGTTCAGGGAATGTTTTTGGATAAAAGTGCAATTTAGTCTTGAGGTGGTTGTGTGATAAATGGAAGATCTGAAGAATGTGACCATTTATTACCTTTATGGTTCCACTGGTTGGTCTCTCTGCTCCCCCCCCCTTTTATTCTTTATTATTTTGAGATTTAGTCCTTAAGTGCTTTGATGGCATCCTGTGTTGAAATGATCTCTCAAATCCTGTTCTTGCTGTGGATGAAAACACTTCTAAAATCAGCTGTTACTTTGTGAGGGACCCGAATGAAATAACCCCTTGATTTGCAGACAGTTCACTTCTCTTTCTTAGAACCCCTGGGCAAAAAAACCAAAACCCCATTGCAAAGGTCAGACACGGTGTTTGGAGCCAAAAAATAACAACTTCCTGAAGCCTGCTGCCTTTATTTATCTGATTCATGAAGTCCATAAACCCATTTTTTCCGTTTGCGTTTTCAACTCGCCCAAGAAGTTCCTTTGTTCTGCCGATTGTTCATGGGTAAAATGCAGGAGGTTACTTACAAGAAATGATGATAATTCTTCACTTCAAAGCAGGAAATACCAGAGTAGTACATGAAAAGCAGAGCCAGGAGCTGAGCAGAGCAGTTTTGACTGCTATGATTAGGTCTGTGTAGAAGGGAATTAGCTGCTGCATGTTCACAGAAGACAGTTAATTGCATCAACATTATCTTAAGCTCTCGAGAGAAAGGTCAGCAAAGGGTTGTTTGTTTTATGCTGCCACTGAAATCTGGTAATTTGTTATTCCTAATGTTTCCTTTCTTGTTTCAGTTCTGTAGAAAGTGTCCTGAAAACGCTTGTGAAGAGCTGCAGACCGTAAGTGTTTGTTTCATGGATGATATCTATTTTTTTTTTTCTTTTTAACAGCCTTGGCTGCAATAATTATGTTGTATGAACAGCTGTATCTGCTATGCATTTAAAACACTGCACTGCATAGGTATTTATTTATTTTAACAGCAATTAAATAACCAGCATTCTTGTAGTGTTTCTATAAATGATCCTTGTGAATGGTAGTTGCTGGGTTTTTGTCCAGCCTTCACAGTGGGGTGGTTTTGCATTGTGCAGATTCTTTTCTGGTCCAACAAGACAAGAACCCTTCAATTTGTGTTCCCAAAATGATGCTTGGTTTACCTCTGTTCTGTGAAGGCTCTGTGGAGCTGAGGGCTGCCTGCAATAACCTCTGGGCATGTGGTTTCCCTGTAAAACTGACATTTATGACGAATTAATAGCTGGTTTTCATTATGTCTAAAACAAGACCCAAACTTGAAAGCCAAGCCTGTGTGTGTGTGGTTTCCAGGTATTTCCCAGAAGATGCCACTGGGGAGATGCTGGATGAGTGGAGGCCTTTGATGTGTCCCTTTGATGTGACCATGCAGAAGGCAATCACCTACTTCGAGCTCTTCCTGCCCACCACCCTTCCCCCCGAGCTGCACCACAAGGGCTTCAGGTGGGTGTCCTGGGACGTTGCAAACACAAGGAATTCTCTTTTTTTACTCTGAGCCAGCAGAAGGGGCTGTGTGGGGCATGGAGGGAGGGATCACTGGGTTAGATGTGCTGCGGTGCCAGGATGGGAGGGAATGCGGTTTGGAAAGAGGAATGTGAGCGTGGAGGGTTTGCTCCTTGGCCTCAGGGGAACTCAGAGTGGGAGATGATGCCACTTGTGACTGTTGGTCAACAGGGACAAGTTTCAGGGTGTAAGGCAGAGGGGAATGAGGTGTGGGTTGTTCTCACCTGGGTTGGGATGTTGATACGTGATGGAATGGCAAAGCTGAGGTGGGTGAGGAAACCGCTGGTGAAGCACTTGTGTGAAAGGGGGATCAAAACAGACTAAGAGGAGGAGAAGTTAAAAAAAAACAAGGACTGAAACTCAGGATCAGCCTTGGGGTGGAGGGATGCTGTGGGAGGTGAAGTGATACAAGCATTCCATGTTGATCCCTGTTCCTGCTGGGTGGGTTGAGGGACAGGTGAGTTCCTGCAACCTGGCAAAGGGAGGGATACGTTTTCAGTGAGGGAGCTGCTTTCTCAGTGTTGGAATTATTTTGATTCTGTTCTCTTTCAGGCTTTGGTTTGATGAATTTATAGGCCTTTGGGTGTCGGTTCAGAATCTTCCCCAGTGGGAAGGGGTAAGTATTTGCTTTTCACCTACACTAGAAGAAACCCTCATTTAAATATTCCTACAATGTGCTTGCAAGGAATCGAAGCCAAACAGTCATATAATGGATTTTTTTCTCTTCTGCTTTAACTAGTACAAGAAAGCAGAGACAATAATTTCATTGTTGGTAGCAAGCAATTACTGTCTGAATAAATGAGACTGCAGTTGTGCTTGATGAACATTATTTAATGGCTAGCTCAGACTAGCTTTTCTTTCCAGATTTGGGAATGCTGCCTGCTGATACTTGGAATTGTTCAGAGTGCTGCTGTGGTTTCTATAAATTATAATTCTGTCCTTTCTTTATCTTAACACATCGTTGGTCCCTCATTTTGAGTGGTGATGTTTTGCCCTTGCTGCAATGAGTTGCTGTCATCTTTATTTGGGATACAGTGAAGAACCTGTACTCTCCTTGGCCAAAAATTCCCTGGGGCTCTGTCTTCCAGGGAAAACAGTCTGCCATGTACCTGTGTGCCCTTGCTGTGTGTCTCATGTGATTAGATGCAAACTTGAGATATGAAAGGCTCACTGTTGAGACCCCAGCAGCAGCTTTGGTGCTGTCAGTGTGAGCTGGGCCTGGGCTTTGCTGCACTGAAACTTGGCCTATCACCAGGTTTTTTTCCCCATACTCAGTATGAACATAAGCTCATTGACCATCTGGCTGCTTTTACTAATCTCCTGCCCGTGTCCACCAGGAGAACTCTTCAGTGTCTGTGGAGAAAGCTGATTCCCAGGCCACCCCTGAGCGCTGCCTTTGTCCCACATTCCGTAGGTGGTTTTGGCTTCAGTTGTGTTTCGTCACAAACCCAGGGAGGCAGTCCAGGTCCCAGCACATCTGAACGTGGGAGATGCCAAAGCCCTGTTTGAGGTTGTCTATATAAACTTTTCCATCTTCCTGATGGCCACCCCCCACCCCCTAGAAATCCTGATTCTTTTTCTGACAGAACAATGACAGCCCGCACTTGAATATCGTGATTTGGTTTGTTTCTGTCAAACAGTTTAACAAATAATCCTCAGCCCTCTTTCAGAAGTTATCTCTGATAACTGGATGCTGACAGTTTGCTTGCTTCCTTTTCCCCTCAAGCTTTCACTTCTTGTTTCCTTTGCTGTCTTGCCCACTTCCTAAAGTCAGGCTTGTTCACGTCATCAGGCTTGGATGCAGATAATTAGACACATGAGTTCTGACTCTGCAATCCCATTTAAGCCTCTGTGTGCTGCAAGCTCTTTCTCAGCTTGCTGTGGCAGGAATTACACTGGCTGTTTGAAGGGGAGCTGTGGAATCAGTTGTCTGTGTGCACAGCAGGGAGTTTTTCAGTGGGTATTTCCTCATACCAAGCGAAGGAGGTGGGTCATTTAAGAAAATGTAACCCCTGTCTTCAGGCTGGGTCAGGTGTGGCTTGTGGGGTTTTCCAGAGCTTATTGTGTCCTTCAGACAGAGAGGTGCCTGTTCCTCTGTGCCTGTGTGTCTCTGAATTAGGCAGGATTCTTTCAGGCCCTTCCTTTTGGCTTCAAGATACTGAGAGAGGCACCAGGAACCTGTTTGGTATGTCCTGACTTGGACAAGCTCCTACAAAGGGACTTGCTGGTTAATGTGCTCTTCCACAGCCAGAAGAGTGAGACTTCATCTCCTTTCTGATTTAGCCATGACAGTTCTCTTCCCTGAGGACATCTCTCAGTTCCCTTGGATTCATGAGGCTGTCTCCTGGTGATGGAGTGTCTAATTCTTCCTGGACAGAAGCTGACAGCTGATGCTTCTGACCTGTTTAAACCAGAGCACACAAATGTGACAGCCAGCACACGTTGATTAGGATGGATCCTGAAGAGCTTAAATAGTCCTAAATAGCTCAATATTGGGGAAAGCTGAACAGAGGCCTGGGGGGATTTTCTGCCGTGTCTGTACATAGGAGCTATTTTAGGGCAGCGATGGTTCTGATGGAGTGAAATCTCCCTTTACAAGTGCTTTTGTGCCATGGGCAGCTTTTATCTCGCCTGTGTGAAGTAGATATATTATTATCCGTATATTCTAATGAACATTCCCTGTTTTTCTGGTGGTTTTCAGCATCTGGTGAATCTCTTTGCTCGCTTGGCCACGGACAACATCGGGTACATAGACTGGGATCCGTATGTGCCAAAGGTGAGAGCTCTCATCTCAGGAGGTGACTTTGCTTGCTTAGAGGCAAGTCTTCAGTGTTCCCATGCCAGGAATAATTCAGGCTCCTTGTGTGGGTTTTACACTGCACTGGCCCAGTTTTTCAAATTAGGTGCATCCATTGAGCCATCCTTTTGGAGGAGGCACGTTGGAAGGTGTTACTGTCATCACCTGGCTCAACCAAACCAACCACAAACCTGACTGTACAAATGCTGTCTGATTGTATAATTAACCCCATGTTCTTGTGGGAAGGCCCTTAGTCATATTCTTGTGATTAAATAATATGTATGACCTTTGGAATCTTTCTGCTTGTAGATTTATTTTTTTTTTTAAACACGTTCGTGGTACTTAAGTGGTTTTAAAAAACCAAACACCTTTTGATTAGAAAATTAATTTAATGCCAATTTTATGGCATAAAGTAATTGATGCCAATGTTTGTTTTTCATCCTCTCAGATTTTTACTAGGATTTTGAGGAGTTTAAATCTTCCAGTGGGGAGCAATCAGGTTGTTGTTCCAAGGTTCTTAACAAATGCTTACGATGTAGGACATGCAGTCATGTGGATCACAGCCATGATGGTGAGTAAACTTCTTCATAAAGGGAACCACAAACCCAGGCAAAGCTTTAAGTATGTTTTTAAGATGAATGTTTGTGATGTTGAGCACGCTGCAGAAGAGTGGGTTCAGGCTTTTTTCCCCAAAGTTTTGTTTTCAAGTACATCGTTCCACTGTCAGCGTGGAATGGAGGTGGAAGTGTTTATTCCACAGCTGGAAAGGAACAGGCAGCTGCAAATGCCACTGTGGGGACACACTGGGGACCTGCTGAGCCCCTGAATCCTCTTTTAGGGTGAACCTCAGCAGATGGGGTGGAGAAAACTTGATATTAGTGCCGAGCTGAGGGCGGGATGGGATTTGATGCTTTGAGGGGAGAGTGCTCCGCTTGTACTTTGTGTGCTGTTACCTGTTCATTTGAACTTGTTCTGTGGTTTATTCCTTCTCCAGGGTGGCCCAAGTAAGCTGGTGCAGAAGCACTTGTCTGGCCTGTTCAACAGCATTGCCTCTTTCTACCACCCCTCCAACAACGGGCGCTGGCTGGTGAGTGTTTGTGTGCTGCCACGATGGCTTTGGCTCTCATTTCAGCCTGTCACACCTCTTGGTCAATGCCCCAGGTGCTCCAACAGCCAGGTTCTGCTGCTGGGTGCTGCTTGGATCTTGAAAATTCAGGTCTCTGTGACCACACTGTCATTCAGACCATGCTCTTATTTTTGTGTCAGCACCATGGCTGATGGGAGTATTCTACAAACATCTAACCCAGGTGCAGGTTGGAAGTCCAAGACAACACACCTAAATCACGTATAGCCAGGAAAAGAAGTCAGCACTTGAAAGGAGGGTGATGCACAGCATCAATATTACTTGTGTGGTGTAGCTTTTGTGTTACTGACCTACTGTCTCCAAGTTCCAAAAATATAGGATGAGGCTTGGAGCAACCTGTTCTAGTGGGAGGTGTCCCTGCCCATGGCAGGGGGATGGAATTGGATGGACTTTAAGGTCCCTTCCAACCAAACCGTTCTGTGATTCCATTAAACAAGGCAAAAGGATTTTTAATGCATCTCTGCTTTGAAGCATAACTTTTTGATGGTGTAACTAGTGGAATTCTCTGCTAGAGAATGTAAGAACCTCCCTGTGATAGCTGGTAGAAAGTAGAGAAGAAAATACAGCAAGGCTGGTCACAGCAGTGCCAGAGGAACTGACTTGTATTTGCTTCCACATGAATGTGCAGAGAATGCTCTCAAAGGTTCCCTAATTATTGGTAAATAATCTTGATTCTTGAGTATGTCCTTTCTTTCTGTTTTTCCTGATTTTTTTTTTAAATCCTAGGGCATAGTGCTGGCTGCATAATCACTGACGTTTTGGGAAGTGAAGTTTAATGACAAACGGTGAACGTTGTATTTCAGAGCTGTTGCGAGTTTTTCTGCACTGGGGTTGTGTGATTCCAGGATGTTGGGTTATTAATTGTCCCTTGTACACTGAGGAGCTCAGTGCCACTGCCCAGCATTTCTTGTGTGTTCCCAGAACAAGCTGATGAAGCTGCTGCAGAGGCTGCCCAGCAGTGTGGTGAGGAGGCTGCACCGCGAGCGCTACAAGAAGGTGACCTGGCTGACTCCTGTGCCCGAGAGCCACAAGCTCACGGACCAGGACGTGACAGACTTCGTGCAGTGCATCATCCAGCCCGTTCTCCTGGCCATGTTCAGTAAAACTGGGAGCCTGGAGGCTGCCCAGGCCCTGCAGAACCTGGCCCTGATGCGCCCCGAGTTGGTAATTCCACCTGTGCTTGAGAGGTAAGAGCAGGGGAGGACTTCCATTTTTAGTTTAATTAGTTTGATTTGTTCTGGGGCAAATGGACTAGTTCTGGAGGACTAGAGCTGTTGACAGCTCCTGTGCTTTAGGGTAGTCAGTCCTCAGGTGCTGTGCATGTCTGTTAGCATTTTGTGTCAGGTAGTGGGTGGGTCAGTTGAAAAAGCAACCCTTTATTCATAAGCCGCCTGGTACGTTCTCTCTGACTTTAGGTTGGGCCAGATACACCCGAGAGTTGTGTAGCAATGAACATATATTTTATACTTCTGTTTTGTTCAGGGTGTGTTACAGTTACAGGTTGTTCAAAATCGCTGTCATGGCTCTGAGTTCACGAGCAAATCAGCAGATATGTGCTCCCGTGAAATACTTAGCTCGCATTATTTCTAATGCCTTGGTGCCTGAAATTTCCAAGGAAAAATGTAGCTCCTTCCTGCTCCAGTGAAAAGCTTTCCTCCTGGTTCCTATCCACGTTCCCTGTGCAGTCTTTTGTGCTTTTGACAACCATGTATTTTAAAACCAGTGGAGAAATGAGTTTGACCGAAGAGTGCTTCCTGTGTTCCACACCTCACCGACTCAACTGTTTGTAAAAACTTGCTAAATCTGAACCATTTCGAGCACAGCAGTTCCAAGAAGGGCAGCAGTGCCGGGTATGGCTGCTCTGTCTGTTTTGAGAGCAGACTCCACGTCTGCTCTGCAGCTCAAACTATCCCTGGAATGTTTGCCTTGGCTGCAGTTCCTTGCTTGGGATGACGTAGGGCAGGGGTAGCACTGTGACTCTTGTCTGAACTGTGGGTTGGTGGTGACAGCAGGAAGTGTGGCAGTTTGCTAAAAAGCACTGAGTGTAAAAAGAAAATGTTTATAAATGGCAGTAACCTCCCAGGTTTTGGTAGAAAGGTCTGGACTTCAGTGTAACATGAAGTCATAGATCCCCTCTCTGTTCAGAGGCAGCCAGGGCACGTTTCTGAGCTTGCCACAAGAACCCTACACTTGAGGCTGGTGCAGGCTGTGCACTTCAGGTTCCAGCAGGGAAATCATTGTAGCTTTGAATGTAGGAGCTCATGCACTAATTATTTAACCCTGGCTTGCTGGTGGATAGCACTGATGAAATGGAAGGAGCCTGGTAACAGATCAGTGTTGAGTCCATCGGAAAACAACGAGAAAACCCTTTCAGAACCCTTGATCAGCTTGAATTTTTCACGAGAAAACCCTTTCAGAACCCTTGATCAGCTTGAATTTTTC